GGATGAAAGATGCTAAACCATATCCTCTGTTATTATTCCTGATAAGGTGGGCATGCATTAGCCAAAGATAGTCTTGGAGGTTTTCTTCTTTGTGTATTAGTTGTAGTAATGTATAAGTAGAAGCTTGGCCTCCTCAACTCTGTGGTTGTGCTAAGGTATAGGTTATAAATGAAAGCAAAGATAAATGCCTGATTTCTTTCCTCTGTGCTTAAGTCTTTTGTGAGTGCGTTTCTAGCATGTTCCAAAGGTAGCCAGTAATATCTTTTTCTAAATTGATCCAGTAAGTGAAAACCCCCCTTACCTCTTTGGCTAAAAGTCTGCAAGGCTGTGAGCCTAGAATTGTCACTGTCAGTCCCAGACTCCTCAGGACAGCTGGTCTGAATAATAATGATGACACAGAAATAGAAACAGGGATGAGAGATACAGAGAGGAAAAGTCTACATGATATTTGAGCCTGTGGATGTAATTGTCTGAGATATCTCTAGTTCTGTCTTTTCCTTAGTTAGTTTACATGACTCAGTTTCTTCTTTCTTTCCCTCCCTCCCCCCCTCTTTTTTTTTTTTTTTAATGTGATCTCTAGGAGCACCTGGGTGGCTCAGTTGGTTAAGCATCTGACTCTTGGTTTCTGCTCAAGTCCTGATCTTAGGGTCTTGAGATCAAGCCCCGTGTCAGGGTCTGTGCTCCCTGGGGAGTCTGCTTGAGATTCTCTCTCTCCCTCTCTCGTGCATGTGAGTTCTCTCTCTCTCAAATCAATCAATCTTAAAAAAAATAAATGTAATCTCTACAACCAAGGTAGAGCTTGAACTCACAACCCCAAGAGTCTATCAACTGAGCCAGCCAGGCATCCCACCTTTTTCTTTATTGTTTCCAAGTCTTTTCAAATCAAGCTTCTCCTTTTGTCATTTCTATCCAAGAGTTTCAAGTACGCTAGTAATGGAAGGCAGTGCCCATGAAATAGAAGTGAGCATATTTCATCAGGAACAGGTCTTTCAATAAAGGGTACTAGGGCAGTTGGTTATCCAAGTGGAAAAATTAGATCCCTACCTCACACCTTAGACAAAAATTAATATCAGATGCATTACATATGAAAAACAAAATTAAAACATTTTAATTTAGAAGAGTAGGAGAGTATATTCATCATGTAAAGTTAGTCAAGACAATGAGAAGTCCCTCAACATATAAATTAAAAGATGAATTACTCTGACTAGCTAACATTAAAAGATACAGAAGGAATGAAAATACGTCACAGGCTTCACAGAGATGTTTGCAGCATACAGCTTACAAAAGAAAGGTGTGCCTGCTATATATATAAAAATCAGAAAGGAAAAGACCAACAGTTCAGCTGAAAAGTGAACAATGGAAACAAATCATCAATTTACAGAAAAGAAACCCCAAATGGTCAATAAGCCTCACTCATACTCAGGAAAATGCAAATTAAAGCAACCATGAGATATCTTTATATAGGCAGCTTAAAGTGGGTTATGAGTTCATCTATTTTAATCAGCAAAAATTATCAAGTTTAATATATTTCTGAATTGGCAAGGACGTGGGGAACTGGGAACTTATTCATCCCTGGTGGAAGTATAAATAGGGAAAACTACCTTAGTTCTCAGTTTGGCTCTCCTAGTGGGATTAAAGATGTGGACATCACAAAATACAGGTTTTACTTCTAAATATGCCACTGAGAGATCACACTTGTGAACAGGATGTCTATTGTAGCATTTTGCTGATAGCATAGCCCCGGTAACAGCCCAAACATCTAGCCGTCGAGGAAAGAATTAAAGAGAAGCCATGGTTGGTGCATCCAACCAGTTCTTTTTACAAATTTGCTTATTGAGATATAATTCACATACCACAAAACCTTTGCTTCTAAAGCATCAAATTCAGCGTTTTTTTAAAAAAAAGTATATTCACAAGGATGCACAACCATCACCGTTTCTAATTCCACAACATTTCTGTCACCAGCAAAAAAACCCCAAAAAAAACCCATACTCATTCTCCTTTCCCTCAGCCCCTTGGCAGGCATGAATCTGTTGTGTCTGAGGTTCGCTTATTCTGGGTGTTTCAAAGAAATGGAATCCTACAGTATTTATGTAGCTTTTTGTGACTGGCTTCTTTCACTGAGCATGTTTCCAAGGTTCATTCATGTTGTGGCATGTCATGGTGCTTCATTCCCTTTGGGGCTGAGCAGTATTCCATGGTATGGCTAGCAGCTGAATTCTATACTGCGGGGAATGAGCTAGACCCACAAAATTCACCTGAATGATTTTCAACAGCATAATATGGGGGACAATAAAAAGGCACAGAATTATAATACACAATAGGATTCCATATATATGTGTATATGTGAATAACACATAGACTTAGGGTTAGGGTTAGGGTTAGGCAATTTCAAGCAGATTGCCATATATTGACTATCAATAGATGTCTGTGTAGTAAAAATACAAAAAAATGCATAAGAATAACATATAATAACATGGATAAACTTCACCTCTGGGGAAGAGAGGACGGACAACAGATCAGGAGTGGTAGAAGTGAAGCACAGCAAAAAATGTCTAGAAAGTAAGGACAGTGTGCATATTTCTATTTATATAATTTGGTGTTTTCCTTTATGGTCAAATTATTTCATAATTAAAAACCTGAAAGGAGAAAAGTTACCCAGCATATGCTTATAAGTTAAGAATATTTATATCTGCATCCCAAATCCTTATAGTTTCATTCATTCATATATTAAAAAATGACTTTCAATCCTGATCAGGTGACATAACTTTTGAAGCAGAGCTCATTTATTTATGTTTGTATGTAACTGGCCGTTCTGTGTCGTCACAGAAAAAAGTCCATGCTCAGAAATGTCCTTACAGTGACATAATACGTAAATTAATGAAGTTATGGGTGCCAAGTGACAAAATCCACATATATTTGGTAAGTCTAGCTTCATTGCATCCTTTGATTTTCAAGAAATAAAATGAACAGAAATATGATGGCACTGAGAAAATGCTTCCATTCATGTCAACAAGGAAACTGGTCTTGGCTTTAAGACTAGAGGGCTGCCCAGCATAGCTTGGAAGGATCATGGACCAAACACAGCTAGCAGCTTACCCTGTTGCATGCCACTCAGAGTCACTTTTGTTAGTTCACAGTTGAGTGTCCCTCTCTGTGGCTTGTATCTGGTGCTTCTTTTCTTTCTTTCTTTCTTTTTTTTTTTTTAAAGATTTAATTAATTTATTTTAGAGAGAGCAAGAGAGAGCATGAGCAGGGGAGGGGCAGAGGAAGAGGGAGAGAGAGAGAATCTCAAGCAGACTCTGCACTGAGCGAGAAGCCAGAAGTGGGGCTTGATCCCACGACCCTGAGATCATGAGCTGGGCTAAAAACAAGAGTCAGACGCTCAACCAACTGCGTCACTGAGGTGCCCCTCTTGTGCTCCTTTTCAAAATCCCTCTGTCTATGGGATGCCTCACCCAACAGCAACCAATGGACTTTTCTGGGGAAAAATCTTTCTATTTATGGGGTGCCATCCAGAATCCCCTAAGTGGGTATTATAGTACCATCAGCCCATAGACGTAGGGCATGTTTTAAGTCAATCAATACTAAAGTCACACTCCAGATTTTGGGAAAAACCCAACCAGTAATTCTTGAGAGGTGTGGAAGCAAAAAGGCAGAGACTTAACTTTATTACTATGGACTATGAGCCAAGGACGTGGAATGACCTGGTTTCCATGTGTCCAGTCATCCCACCATCTTAACCCACATTCTCCTTCCTCCAGGGCTCCGGCTGTCCTCCTTCACCTGCCGCACTGCACATTCAAAAGATCCTGGGGGCTCCTCAGCTGGGGACAGAAGCTGCCTCAGGTATAGGTCAGCATGGCTCACTCCCCGGGGGTCTTTCAGTCTTTGGGGGAAAGAGATGGGCATTTAGAGCTTAGCTGTCCCGTATGGTAACTGCAAGCCACATATGGCTATTTACATTTAAGTGAATTAAAATTACATTTAATTTAAAACTTGGGTCCTCAGTCACACCAGATGCATTTTGCATGTCAATAGCCACGTGTAGCCAGGGGCTGTTGTGCTGGACAGTACAGCCATAGGACACGTCCATTATTGCGGGAAGTCCTACTGGACAGCGCCATTCCAGGAATGGCTGTGTCTCGGGGAGGATGAGGGTTTTGACTCTAGTTTTAATAATATGATACTAATAACTATGACTGGTACTAAGAACAGTCATTGCAAACATATGGTGTTGAAAATAAGAACGACCATCCTGTAAGAATACCTACTGGTTGTGTAATATTACGCTATTTTAAAAACAACTTTATTGAGATATGACTTATATACTGTGAAATTCCCCTAATATAGGTGTGCAATTTGATGACATTTAGTGAATTTGTAGAATGATGTAGCCCTCGCCACACTTAAGTTTTAGAACATTCGTCACCAAAAAAGTTCCCTTGTGTCTGTGTGCGGTTTTATCTCCTCTCCCAGCTCCAGCCATAGGTGACTATTGATTTGCTTTTTCTGGAGATTTTACATAAATGGAACAATGGACAGTCCCCTGTATCTGGCTTTTTTCATAACTTAGCAAATGTTTTTGCAGTGCCTCCATTTACCACATGGATCTATCACTAGTTTCTTCCTTTTTTTTAATTGCTGAATAGAATTTCATTGTATGGAGGTACCACATCATAATATTATGTTATTATAATATTATTATTTTCAACAACTTGCTAATCAATGTCATTAATCCAACATTTAAAATAGACTAGATTTGTTCATTGATGGTTCATTTGTGAACCTGTGAGCTGTGTTTTTCCATACCTTTAAAAAATATATGTATCTAAATGAATGCCATGTGCATAGATATTTTTTAAATACAACAGTGAACAATTTGCATCTTTTGTTAATGCCTCTTTTTACTTGCTTTGGCATAAAGAATGAACCAATAAACCTCTGTGTCCTCTGGGAAAATGTATAAATATCACCTGATAATTGCTTTTAGAGGTAATGGTAATTAATGTTAAATCACAAGTAAGCAGTATTTCAAATAGAAAAAACTGATTGGTGTACATTGATTAACATTTGTTAATTGATGCTTTCATGCCATCCATCTGACATTTAAAATTTGCCAGAAATTCCAGCAAACCCTTTGTGTTTAGTGCATCACTGGATTACACAGGACTGTCATGGGGGATTTTGATCCCCAATAGATAAGGGAGGGAATGAAGGGTCCAAATCACAGGGGTTTCGTGAGTTGTCTCAGACCATACTGGCAAGAAATGGTAGCCATAGGGAGTTGGAACCCAGCTACTCTGGAATACAAAGCATGTGTTTCTTTGTTGAATTATTGAGATATAATTGACGTATAACACCGTATGAGGTTAAGGGGTACCACGTGTTGATTTGATACATTCATATATTGCAACACGATCACCACCGTAGTGTTAGCTAAACCTCCATCCTGCCACATAATTATCATTTCTTTTTTGCAGTGAGAACAATTAAGATCTAGTCTCTTAGCAACTCTGAGGTTTATAATACAATGTTGTGAACTCTAATCATGATGCTGTGCCTTACATCTCCACGACTTCCTTATCCGCTAGTTGCAAGTCTGTACCCTTTGGCCAACATCTCCCTACTTCTCCCACCCCTGGTAACCACCATTCTACTTTCTGTTTTTTTTAGTTTGGTCAAAGCACATGCTTTTAAACACAATGTTAATTGGCCTCTTGTCAATCGTGTGAGCTGGGGGCATCCAAGTAACTAGAGTATGGGCTAAACCAGGAGGCAGACAGGGTCAGCCTACGGTGGTAAGTGAGCTCGTGGAGAGAGCTCACCGAGACAGATATCCTTTCCAGGTTGGACAAATCTGCATGTGAGTGAAAGGAAAAAAAAAATCAGCTCTCAGATTGCAGGAGTGAGACTTATTCTTTCCATCCAAACCATAAGATTCTCTTATGGTTTCTTCCCTTACCACTCACCTGTAGCCTCCTGCTTGGGAAATTCGGAATGGCTGGTTCTGAGAGACAAAAACACATTAAAGTATGGGATCTGAAGACTGAGGGAGAAAATGGGGCATTAGAAGAGGCATGGGAATCACAGACATACAAACAGGGCATCTGAAGAAGAGAGGGGCGCAAGATATGTCAAGCATATCCACCTCTTGGTGGACTCTTCATGTGACGAACCTACAAAACAAAAAAATACAAGGAGGAATTTATATAATGAGAAAATCCTTCACTTCATTCCCCTTCCCTAATGTATAAAACTGGTGCTTCCCTGGGGTGCCTGAGTGGCTCAGTCGCTTAAACACCCGACTCTTGATCTCAACTCAGGTCTTTGATCTCAGGGTCGTGATTTCAAGCCCCGAACTGGGCTCCATGCTGGGCATGGAGCCTACTTATTAAACAAGCAAGCAAGCAAACAAACAAACAAACCAGTGCTTCCCTGAACTCACCATGCTGGGTACATCTGTTGATGAAGAAGACAAGAGAGGAAGAGAATCAAAATGGAAAGGCAGCTGAAGGTGGCAGCAAAGATTAATCCATTGGCTGGTGGGAGAGGAGCAGGTCGGAGAATCAGTTTGGCTCCTGAGACACCCCGCTCAAGTTTAGTCCAACAGGTGTGAGGAGCCAGACAATCTGGCTTCCAAAACTTGCAGCTACCACTTCTGAGCTGGAACTTCTGATTACTATGGGAATTTCCTTAATCTCCCTGACTCTCCATTTTCCCATTCAAAGTGAGGATAAGAACAGTAGCTGCTGGACTGGATGGCAGGGGGTTAACTGGGTGGGCACTCACAGAGAGGGCCTCGCACAAGGGAAATCTCCAATAAACGTTTCAGCCATATCAATAATTCTGATTATTTGTCGTGAGCCTCTCTGTGCTAGGCGCTTCACATGTGTTCTCATCTTGACAAGAAGCACATGAGATGGTGGGAATGCAAGCTGGTACGGCCACTCTGGAAAACAGTATAGAGGTTCCTCAAGATGTTAAAAACAGAGCTACCTTATGACCCAGCAATCGCACTGCTAGGTATTTACCCCAAAGATACAGATGTAGTGAAAAGAAGGGGCACCTGCACCCCAATGTTTATAGCAGCCATGTCCACAATAGCCAAACTGTGGAAGGAGCCCAGATGTCCATTAACAGATGAATGGATAAAGAAGATGTGGTGTATGTACACAATGGAATATTACTCACCCATCAAAAAATGAAATCTTGCCATTTGCAATGATGTGGGTGGAACTAGAGGGTATCATGCTAAGCAAAATAAGTCAGTCAGAGAAAGACAATTATCATGTGGTTTCACTCATATGTGGAACTTAAGAAACCAAACAGAGGATCATAGGGGAAGGGAAGGAAAAATAAAACAAGATGAAGTCAGAGAGGGAGACAAACCATAAGAGACTCTTAATCATAGGAAACAAACTGACAGTTGCTGGAGGGGAGGAGGGGGAGGGATGGGGTAACTGGGCGATCGACATTTAGGAGGGCATGTGATATAACGAGCACTGGGTATTATATAAGACTGATGAATCACTGACCTCTACCTCTGAAACCAATAACACATGGTATGTTAATTAATTGAATTTAAATAACATAACATTAAATTAAAAAAAAAAAGAAGCATACAAGATAGCTTTACTGTTCCCCTTTCATTCCAATGGGAACAAAGTATCCAGAAGTTAAGGGAATTGCTCAAAGTCACACAGTCGGGATGGGCTTCGCATCCTGGTATGTGTAACCTTTTAGGCCAGTCGGCCACAGGTCAGGGCCACTCCGTGCTGGCCTCTGGGTGTGGAAACACCAGAGAAGTGACCTCGCAACCTGGGGAAATGCACATTTACCCAGATAACTGTGATGCTGCAGAGGGAACAATAAGTCCCATCTCAGATGAACGAAAATCCAAACTCTCTCCCAGTCCAAGAGTTGTTTAAATGGTATATATACTGGGATATTATTCAGCCATAAAAAGGTAGAAAATCCTGCCATCTGCGACAACGCAGATGGACCTGGAGGGCATTATGCTAAATGAGATGAGCCAGACAAAGACAAATAGTACATGATTAGATTCCACTGATGCATGGAATCTAAAACAAACAAACAAAAAATTTTTAATTGAACTCATAGATTTATGGAATGTGAATTATGAATCAATAAAAAAGAAAGAAAATAAGTAATGCAAGAGCTAAAAACATGAACACTTCTCTTTCTCTACGCTCTTGCCCATCACTAGGCTTCCCGCCTTATTTCTGATACTTCCATGATCCTTGACCCTATCAGATTTCAGATCTCTCCCAGAAAACATTCCTGGGAGAATAGAGTGGTGGCTGCCAGGGGTCAAGGGCTGGGGAGGTGGGGAGAGGCTGGCAAAACGCTACCAGCTTCCAGTGAACAGATGAATAATTTCTGGAGATCCAACGTATAGCGTGGTGACAATAGTTGACAAGTGCATAACTGAAATTTGCTAAGAGTAGATCTTAAGCATTCTCACACAAAAACCAAAGGTAAATATGTGAGGGGAGGATGCGTTCGTTAACTCGCTCCTTCCACAAGTGGACGCGTGCATCAAACGATCACGTCGTACACTTGTCAGTTATACCTCAAGAAGGTGGGGTAAGGAGGAGAGGGGCAGGATGAAAACACCAAACTTGAAGAGCTTGAGTAATGATGGAAAGTGCTGGCTTCAAAGTGCTTCAAGGTCTAGAATTTGACTCATTGTGTAGGATAATGAGATTGCAGTGATAATGATTATTTTCTCCCCCGATATCCCACCCACATCTGCCTCCCTCTGTAACAGATGATGCCAGGTCTCCTCCACCCCTGCTCCACAGATCCCTTTGCCATTTTTATGCACTCTGGATCATCGTTTCTTTCACTTCCCGATGTGAACATTTGTATCTCTTTGTCGGGGGACTGCCAGGAAGGACCCCAAGTGCCTCGGGATCTATGTATCCCAGGGATACCTCTTCTGCACCTCCTACAATGTCGCTTTGACATTAATACTTATTTGAGTCTGTTGGCGGCACTGAATCCAAGAGACCCTCAAAAGCAGCAAACTATCAGCGCATCTCCAAGGACATAAGAGAACAGGGTGGGAACAGGTGTTTCCCGGGGCCCGGATGGAAGAAGAGGAACATCAGCCCTGCCTTACACTTCATCTAGCCTACAGCTTCTCTCACACAACGACTCACTAGAAATGAGAAGTGAACTCTCACAAGACTTTCCCCTTCCCATGGTGCCACAACCCGCCAATCTGAGTTCACCCTGAGATGTCCGCGTTTCCTAGGCCAAATTTCACCTCACTCTTTACAAACTGCCAGAATAAATTACAAGGAGTCTCTGGTGTCAGTGTGAAGGAATCACACTGAGTAGTGGGATACAGCTTGCCACGGGGTGTAAATGAGGTCACAGGCAGCAGAGGGGAAGCCTGGCCTTGTGTGCACCTATGCATCCGTATGTACAGGCTGGGGGCATCATATCTGCGCTTAAAGACTTGATTCCATTTAGAATTGCTGCGGTATAAATTTGAACTCAGAAAGTACATCTCAAGAAACGATCTACACACCCACTAGGATGTCTATAATAAAATAAAAGGAAAATAAGTGTTGGCAAGGACGTGGAGATATTGGAACCCACACGTATTACTGGTGGGAATGTAAATTGGTGCGGCCACATTGGAAAACAATTTGGCAGTTTCTCAAAAAGTTAAACATAGAGTTACCATATGTCCCAGCAATTCTACTCCTAGGTGGATATCCAAGAACATTGGAAGCAGGGACTCAAACAGGTACTTGCCCACCAATGCTCAGGGCAGCCTTAATTGCGATACCCGAAAGGTATGAACAACCCAGTGTCCATCATGGGGATCGGAATGGGGAGAGACTGCTTACAGGGTAGCACATTTCATTTGGGGTCTAAGAATGTTCTGGAATTAGAGAGTGGTGATGGTTGCACAGTCTTGTGAATATACCAAATGCCACTGAACCGTGTGCTTTAAAAGGGTGGATTTATGGAATGTGAATTATGAATCAATAAAAAAGAAAGAAAATAACTAATGCAAGAGCTAAAAACATGAACACTTCTCTTTCTCTTTACCCTCTTGCCCATCACTAGGCTTCCCGCCTTATTTCTGATACTTCCATGATCCTTGACCCTATCAGATTTCAGATCTCTCCCAGAAAACATTCCTGTTATGAATTATGTTCATAAAGCTGGAGTAGAAATCATTTCCCAAGTCTGCTAATACTGAATAAAAACATTTTCAAAGGCTATTACTTATTTTGCGAAGACATTTTTGGGAGATACCTTTAAAAAAAAAACTGGTTATTCCAGCATAGATTCTAATGACAGCCTTGAACAATTTTGGCTCTTTGGAGTCGATTACAGGGAGGTTATGAGTTGCAGAAATTAAGGATGAGTAAGCAACTAGATGCCAACTTACATTATATATTTGGCCATTAAAATCTGGATGAGCTCCTATTTTCATCCAAAGATGCCAAAAGCTCTAACTTTTACAAGCATCTCCAAGGATAGACTCTTAGTCAATTCCTCATGGAAAAGCAACATCAGAGAAAAATAACTTAATATTCACCTGTTTTTGAGAACTTTAAAGTTTTAGCAAATCCTTGATCACACACATTCCCAAAGCACCTGGGCTCCACGGGTCCCCATCCTGTTGCCCAAACCAGACACACAAGCTCATTCCCATTCTTCACAAAACTCCGCCATGGTTTTTTGTTATGTAAAATGACAAGCAACCCACCTCTAGCTGTTTTACTCATCAGCTTTTCCTTAACCCATGAGGAGCTTGGGGTCATCTTCCCAGAAAGGCAGTCATTCTCCCCATCACAGTGAGAAAGCAGGCATCACGATTCTTCTTCTGTGCCTTTTATTCAAAGGGGAATGCCTGCCTCATGAGGTGGATATAATTTGGAAAAACATCTCTCAAATTATCTTACCATTTTTTACTCCAGTAGCTCCACGTCCATTGTGGTCATCTAGAAAACAGGATGCAGGAGGAAAAAAGTCACAATGACTGAGTGGAAACCTTGGGGACCTACGTCCTCACATTCTGTTTATGGACTCTAAGCCCTCTTTGGGAAGCAGACAATGCCTTTTCCACTCTTGGGATGCTCACTGGGTCCCCAAACCAGGGCCAGAACATTAGATGGCTTTTTTTTTTTTTAAAGATTTTATTTATTTATTTATTTGAGGGGTGGGGAGAGGCAGAGGGAATCTCAAGCAGACTCCATGCTGAGCACAGAGCCCGACACAGGGCTCGATCTCACGACCCTGAGATCATGACCTGAGCCAAAATCAAGAGTCAGATGCTCAACGACTGAGCCACCCAGGCACCCCCAGGTGGCTCTTTTTAATGCTCCTGGAGTTTGATATTATTTTTAGTAACAAAAACATTTATAAATTATCCCACTGATTTCTCCCCTTCCAATCCTATTCCTTACCAGTCTTCTCCATCCCAGGAAAGAGCACCACCACTTTGCAAATATTTTCTCCCTTTGGTAAGTTGTCTTCTCATCTTGCTGTTTCTTTTGCTGTGCAGAAAAGCTTTTTGCTTGATGCAATCCCACTTATTTATTTTTGCATTTGTTTCTTGTGCTTTATGTGTCATATAAAAAAAAATCATTGCCAAGATCATGCAAAGGAGCTTTTCCCGTTTTCTTCGTGGTGCCTTATGCCTTGGGGTCCTACGTTTAAGTCTTTAATACATTTTGAGTTAATTTTTGTGAGTGGTGTAAGATGAGGGTCCAATTTCATTCTTCTGCATGTGTTTATCCAGTTTTCCAACATCATTTAGTGAAGAGACTGTCCTCTCCCCATTGAGTACTTTTGGCTCTCCTGCCAAATGTTAGTTGGTTGTATATGTGAGGGTTTAATTCTGGGCTCTTGATTCTGTTCCATTGATCTACGTGTCTATTTTTATGCCAGTGCCACACCATTAGGATTATAAAACTTTGTAGTATAGTTTGAAAAAAGAGTGTATGATATCCCTAGCTTTATTTTTCTTTCTCAGTATTGCTTTGGCTATTCAGGATCTAGCAGGTTTTTGGTTGAGTCTTGAGGATTTTCCATAATAAGATTATATCATCTGCAAATAAAGACAGTTTTACTTCTTCCTTTCCAGTTTGGATGCCTTCCATTTCCTTGTCTTGCCTGATTGCTCTGGCTAGGACCTCCAGTACTATGTTGAACAGGAGTGGTAAGAGTGGACATCCTTGTCTTGTTTCTGATCTCAGAGGAAAGATTTTGACCTTTTGCCTTTGAGTACAATGCTAGCTGTGGACTTGTTGTGTATGCACTGTTATGTTGAGATGCATTCCTTCTACACCTGATTTGTGGAGAGTATTTGATCTTGAAAGGATGTTGTATTTTGTCAAGTGCTTTTTCTGCATCTACTGAGATGATCATATGATTTTTGTCTTTTATTCATTAATGTGGTCAATGACATTGATTGTGTAGGTTGAACCATCCTTGCACCCCAAGGATAAATCCCACTTAACCATAGCATATGATCTTCGTAATGTGCTGTTGAATTTGGTTGCTAATGTTTTGTTGAGAATTTTTGCATCTGTGTTCATCAGGGATATTGCTCTGTAGGTTTCTCCTAGTGTCTCTATCTGGCTTTGGTATCAGGATAATGCTGGCCTCATGAAATGAGTGTAGGAATGTTCCCTCTTCTTCAGTTCTTTTTTAAAGTAGGCTCCACACCCAGCATGGGGCTTGAACTCATCACCCTGAGATCAAGAGTCACATGATCTACCGACTGAGCCAGCCAGGCACCCCCACGTCTTCCATTTCTGGTAAGAGTTTGAGAAGGGTTGGCATTATTTCTTCTTTAAATGCCTGGTAGAAAGCACCAGTGAAGCCATCTGGATGTGGGCTTTTCTTCATTGGGAGGTTTTTGATTATTGAGGCAATCTCCTTATCTGTTATTGATCTGTTTAGATTTTCTATTTCTTCATGATTCAGTCCTGGTTTATAGACTTCTACAAAGATTCTCTTATCCATGGGTGATTGCCCAAGTCTCCAGGTGCTTCTAGGCCATGGCCAACAGGGCCTGGAACTAATTTACAGTCTCCTGCAGGTTCCACAGCTGGCACTGAGGTCTGTCTGCCTATTACTCAGGTGAGTGAGACTCCTCTCGGGTCCCTTGCTGTATGGTGCCAGATCCCACAACTCCCACAAAGGCACTTTTGTTTGTGGATGGATGCCAAACTTCTTTTTTTTTTTTTTAAAGATTTTATTTATTTATTTGACAGAGAGAGACACAGCGAGAGAGGGAACACAAGCAGGGGGAGTGGGAGAGGGAGAAGCAGGCTTCCCATTGAGCAGGGAGCCAGATGCAGGGCTTGATCCCAGGACCCTGAGATCATGACCTGAGCCGAAGGCAGACTTAACGCCTGAGCCACCCAGGCACCCTGGACGCCAAACTTCTGTTGTTGAAGTGGGGGTCAAAAATGAGGGATGAGGGGTGGGGGGGATGGGTTAGCCTGGTGATGAGTATTAAAGAGGGCATGTACTGAATGGAGCACTGGGTGTTATACGCAAATAATGAATCATGGAACTAATGATGTGATGTATGGTGATTAACATAACATAATAAAAAAATTAAATGTTATTAATTAAAAAAAATTAGGGATGTCTTATGCTGTCCTGATAGTTTGGATTTTTCTTCTTTTCTCAACTTGTAGTGGCTCTGGCATTCCTGTTTTCAGCAGAACAATAACAATACAATTGGATCTGTTGTATGCAATCAGACATCAGAGTCTCTGTGACCTGGAGTCATCTCAGGGTCTATGTTGAGTAAGAGGGAAGGTTTTAGGACTGATCCTGAAGAGGACAGAGCAACAGGGGTGAAGGAAAGGACCAGGGATTCCCCTTTTCCAATGCACCTGGGGACATTCTTACCCATCTCTCTATTAACCACATATTTTATGTTCTGAATTTGACCCTTTGATATCTTGGGACCTTGGTGACCCTGGAGAGATTCCCCCCCCCGCCAAGGGTATCCACTTCCCCAAGTGTGCCTCTCAAGTGCAAACCAACCAATCCAGAGCTTACGCTCCCAACCACCTCTTCTATGGCTCTCACACTCTGAGTCACTATTCCCCTGCTCTAATCATTCTAGGGCCAGATACCAGACAATCAGGGACAGCCTCTATACCCCAGAGCCAATCCTAAGCCTATTCCTTCCCACAGAAATCATGGTAAAGGCTCTTGCCCAGTTTTATTCCTCCCTCTGTTTCCTGACTGATCCTGGTGCTTCTCTATGTGGTCCTGCATGGCATGACATACCCTTCTTCTTGGGAACTCTAACAAACTATCTCTCTCTCTCTCTCTTTTAAAATATTTTATTTATTTATTTATTTATTTATTTATTTATTTATTTATTTGAGAGAGAGAGAGAGAGAGAGAGAGAGAGAGAGAGCTTGAGAGAGAGCACCAGCAGGGGGCAGGGTGGGGCAGAGAGAGAGGGAGAAGCAGGCTCCCTGGGATCATGACCTGAGCCAAAGGCAGACACTTAACCAACTGAGCCACCCAGGTGTCCCCAAAATATCTTTTTCTCAATGACAATCGTCTCTTCATCTTTGGCCATACTCTACTTCAAATTTTCTATTAATACCTATATTATTTTTTTTAAAACTTTTATTTATCTATTTGACACACACACAGAGAGCACAAGCAGGGGGAGAAGCAGATGAGGGAGAAGCGGGCTCCCCACTGAGCAGGTAGCCCAATGCGGGGCTTGATGCCAGGACCCCGGGACCACAACCTGAGCTGAAGGCAGACGCCTAACCAACTGAGCCACCCAGGAGCGCCTAATACCTATATTCGAAAACACTCTCCCACATCCACCTCATTGATACACACTCAGAATCTCTGATGAGAGCCTGTCCCCACCCTCACTTCCCATTTCCCCCATACTTTACACTCAAGTGGTCACATCTGTCTGTTTCCTGGACTTTTCCTTCCCCAGCCAGGTTCCATCACAGGAAAAGGAATATGTGCCTCAAGAGCAAGCCTGAAGCTGCCTTTCTCACCTTTGACCTTCAGCTGCAGGTATTCACTCTCCCCTGACCACTCCTCGGAGATCATCATCTTGTAGGCACAAAAGTACATCCCAGCATCCTTCCGTTCCAGGTGAATGAGGAGGAATTCAGCCTTGTGTTCTGTGGATCTCTGCTCCTGCCTGTACCCGGAGTGCCGCAGCTTCCTCAGCATGAATGTCGCATTCTGGAAGTGAGACTGGCACCTCAGGGTCACGTCTCCTCTGTGTCCAACCACTAAGCTGGACAAGGCACTGAGGGAGGGTTTGGGAAGCATCTCTGGAAAGAATTCAGAGTTAGTCTGACTCTTCATCATGATGACCACCAGTGCCCTCCCAGAATTCAGAGGATTAAAGAGAAAATTTGGGTTGCAGGAACAGAGAATTTATGCAGGAAAACTCACCATTCTTTTTCTTGTCTTCAAAGCCCAGGCTAAGCCCTGGAGGAGAAACCCTCCTGAGACATGGATTATATATTCATCTTTGACTACATATCAGGCAGAGAATGCATGATTAATTTGTTAAAGATCCATTCTATTTCTTTTTTTTATTAACATATTATGTATTATTTGTTTCAGGGGTACAGGTCTGTGACTCATCAGTCTTACACAATTCACAGCACTCACCATAGTACATACCCTCCCCAATGTCCATCACCCAACCACCCCATCCCTCCCACCCCCCTCCACTCCAGCAACCCTCAGTTTGTTTCCTGAGATTAAGAGTCTCTTATTGTTTGTCGCCCTCTGTTTTCATCTTGTTTCATTTTTCCCTCCCTTCCCCTATGATCCTCTGTCTTGTTTCTCAAATTCCTCATATCATTGAGGTCATATGATAATTGTCTTTCTCTGATTAACTTATTTCGCTTAGCATAATACCCTCTAGTTCCATCCACATCGTTGCAAATGGCAAGATTTCATTTTTTGATGGCTGCATAATCCATTGCATATATATACCACATCTTCTTTATCCATTCATCTGTTGATGGACATCTAGGCTCTTTCCATAGTTTGGCTATTGTAGACACTGCTGCTATAAACATTGGGGTGCAGGTGCCCCTTTGGATCCCTACATTTGTATCTTTGGGGTAAATACCCAATAGTGCAATTGCTGGGTCATAGGGTAGCTCTATTTTCAACTTTTTGAGGAGCCTCCATACCATTTTCCAGAGTGGCTGCACCAGCTTGCATTCCCACCAACAGTGTAGGAGGATTTCCCTTTCTCCGCATCCTCACCAACATCTGTCGTTTCCTGACTTGTTAATTTTAGCCATTCTGACTGGTGTGAGGTGATATCTCACTGTGGTTTTGATTTGTATTTCCCTGATGCCGAGTGATGTTGAGCACTTTTTCATGTGTCTGTTGGTCATCTGGATGTCTTCTCTGTAGAAATGTCTGTTCATGTCTTCTGCCCATTTCTTGATTGGATTATTTGTTCTTTGGGTGTTGAGTTTGATAAGTTCTTTATAGATTTTGGATACTAGCCCTTTATCTGATATGTCGTTTGCAAATATCTTCTCCCATTCTGTCGGTTGTCTTTTGGTTTTGTTGACTGTTTCCTTTGCTGTGCAAAACTTTTTATTTTGATGTAGTCCCAATAGTTCATTTTTGCCCTTGCTTCCCTTGCCTTTGGTGATGTTTCTAGGAAGAAGTTGATGCAGCTGAAGTCAAAGAGGTTGCTGCCTGTGTTCTCCTCAAGGATTTTGATGGAAGATCCATTCTATTTCTTTAAGGCACTTCCTTGGATTGATTTTTTACCTGTTACTTATGTCCCATTGTCTCTCATTCAGGAGTTATGATTATGTACAAAATTCCAGCAACCTTTTCTGATTTATCATGTTGCTTTCATGATCAGGCTTTCTTTCACCATCTAGACATCATTGCACATTTACCTATATTTTCCTCTCCTGCTTTTTATGACTGCACTTTTCACTCTTGCCACTTAAATAACACAATGGTTATTTTACTGTGGAGTGTGAGCGGAGGGTTTCCTCCCTGATTCAAACAGACAGAAGTCGCTCTCTCTGACCAAGTTCTTCTTTTCACAAGGAGTTCAAGACATTCATGGTCCTAAATGCTCTTCCCACATGTGGCTTTGATCTTTACAAACATCAGACCCTACCTCTCCTTTGTTCCATTCTATGTATTTCATTCTGGGATAGGAAGGTCATTCCTTCGATGGAAATATGGGAAACCAGTCTTGGGGTCTGTCAAGACGTGAAGCTAGAATTTCTGTAGGTGCGAGAATGTCTCAGAACACCTGGCCCTTGTTTAAACTCAGGGGTCAGCTCACAACATGGACCCCCCCAAGTTTCACCAAGAAGAAAGGAGGTAGGGGTCTGACGGTGCACTGAGGCCAAACTTGTAGTGACAGTGGCTGGGATTTGTAGGTAGAAAATCATCATCTGGGTGGTCAGGGGGTCCTAGGTCTCCTGGTCTCTTTTTAGTCCCCCCTCCCCCACAAACCTGCTTTTAGACTCATGTTGTCTCAGCTCTGGTACAGCCAGTATTCTGCTCAAAACAGTGATTCCCCCTCTTTTTTTTAAGTAAGCACATAGGTGCCTTTAGTTCATTTTGCCTTGTGAAACCCTACTGGAGAATAGGGTGTAAAAGTGAGGGAGAGGTTCTCTTTCTTTGACGAATAAACTGTATATACTTAAGTTACACAACATGATGATATATATATACATATATAGAATGATTACCACAATCAAGCCAGTTAACACATCCATCAGCTCACAGAGTTACCCTTTGTGTGTGCGTTCATGTGTGTCTGTGATGAGAACACAGAATTATCAACTACAGTCTCCATGCTGTGCATTTGATCCCTTAGAACTTGCCCCTCTTTCCTAACAAGGGACCACAGTGGATGCAGACAAGGAAGACTGGCCACACAGAGGAAACCATCATTGAGGGGAATGCAGGATAACTTGAAAAAAGCATATTTCTCAGTAAAGAAGTACAATAAAAACCCATCAATTATTAAGTGTCTGTCTTTTGGCTGACTCTTTACAGACACTGACCACTGACATGCTTATATTCTTTGGCAGGTCCTTGGCAGACAGCTGTCATCTACCCTACAGCTACCTGCTCTGAACAACATCCAGCCTCGTTAGGTGCTACACCTTCCACTGAGACAGGAAGGAGTGGGAACACTAGAAACCACAGCTCCCTAAAAACTAATGTGATACTGTGATTTATGATAAATATACATTTGGTCTTTGTCCTGGTTCCTGGGACACAGCTGCTAAACACTTGGAATTTTCTTAACCATGCTTTTTTAAGTCTATTTATTTATTTATTTATCTATTTTAGTAATCTGTATACCCAACATGGGGCTCGAACTCATGACCCCGAGATCAAGAGACCCGTGCTCTTCTAAGTGAATCACCCAGACACCCACCCTTGGAATTTTCTATACAAGTGTCTTTCATTATGTTAATGAAGTGACTTTTGGACCACACCTAAGGATGAGGGCTGGTTGCCGGGGGAACCAACCATATGATGACAAGGTTGAAACATTCAATTCCACCTCCTTGACCTCTGGGAAGGAGAGAGGAGTTGGAGATGGAATCAATTGCCAATGGCCATGATTTAATCAATTGTGTTTATGTAATGAAGACTCTATAAAAGCTCAAAAGGATGGGTTCAGAGAGCTTCCAGGTTGATGAACCCGATGGAGGTGCAGGGAGAGTGGTGTGCCTGGAGAGGACGTGGAAGCTCTGTGCTCTTTCCCCATACCTAGCCTTCCATATTTCTTCCATCTGGCTGTGCAATTATATCCTTTTATAATACACTCATAATCCAGTAAGTTGAATATTCCTGTGAGTTCTGTGAGCCTCTCTAGTGAATTAATTGAACCCAAAGAGGGGGTCATGTGAACTCCTGATATATAGCCAATTGATCAGGTGATAACCCAGACTTGCCACTGACATCTAAAATGGGGAGGAGGCAGTTTTATGGGACGGAGCCCTTACATACAGGATCTGATGCTAACTCCAGGTAGTGTCAGAACTGAATTAAATTATAGAACACCCAATTGGTGTTCAAGAATTGCTTGGTGGTGTCAGGGCCCCACCCTCACACATTGGAATTGGGGGGGCCAGAACTGGATCTCCAGATTACTGTTAAATTATAATTTAACAGATCCCTTGAACTCATCATCTGGAAAGCTTAAAAATTTTATGTAAAACATTATTCAGATTGTAATATAAAATACTATCCTATTCTATTATAGAAAGAAATGTTGCAGTGATATATCATGGATGGACCTTAAAAACATCATTCCAAGAAAAAGAAGCCAGACATGAAAGGTCACATGGTATGATTCCATTTACATGATATATCCAGAATAGCTACATCTAGAGAGACAGAAAGTGGATGGGTGGTTAGCCCCCCCGGGGAAGGGGGATGGCGAGTGACTGCTTTGTGGGTACAGCATTTCCTTGACGGGTGATGAAAACATTTTGCTGTGGTTACACAGCATTGTGAATGTTTAAAATGTCACAAAATTGTCTACTTTAAAATGGTTACTCTCATGTGCATTGTATCTCAATACATTTTTAAAATTTTATGTAAATTGGGTACACTTACCGTCTGTACTAAAGATGTATAAAGATTCAAATATCAGAAGTCTGCCTGAAATCAGATGAAGTGGAAATGACTAGTTGTGTTAGTTTAGACAAGCAACCTCCATTAAGTGCAATGGTAGATCATGTTTCCAGAGCAGCCTGACCCAGGGATTCAGTGCTGTTGCAGTCTTTTCTCTCAGCTGCCGTGTGTCATTCCCTCCGAATATTGTCAGGACAGGACCAGGAGCCTGGAAGCAGGGCTGTAGGCAGCTACGATCTGGCATCTTTGGAAGGTCACACTCAGAGGACCAAAATTTATCTGTGTCTCAATGCCAGTTTGAGAAACTTCCTGACAGAACTGGACTGGCTTGCTTTGCATCATAGACCTATCTGTGGAATAATGATTATTTGCGTCCTCCAGAAAGGTATGTTCAAGTCCTAACCCCCAGTACCTGTGAATGTGAACTTATTTGGAATTGCATTATTTGGGAGTAGGCTGGTCCCATAATTCAGTATGACTGGTGTCCCCATAAGAAGAGGTGGAGAGCTATGGAGACAGACATAGAGGGAAGATGGCCATGTGAAGACATGAGGGATTGCAGCAAAGCATCTGCAAATAAGGAACCCAAGGACTGCCTGCCATCCCCAGAAGTGAGGAGAGCCTGGAACAGATTCTCCCTGGGAGCCTCAGAGCCCTCAGAAGGAACCAACTCTGCTGGCACCTTGATCTTGGACTTCTGGCCTCCAAAACTGTGAGAGAATAGTTTTCTGTTGTTTTAAGCCACTTGGTGTGTAGCACTTTGTCACGGCAGCCCTGGGAAATGAATACAAGCAGGATGAGGTCAGTCTCTTGACTGTCCAACTTATTCTGCCCTACAGCTGGAGGTTTGGGGTAGAGTGACTGACAGCCACCCCTAAAGCTCAAATGTGTGTGTGGGAGGAGCATTACCCCAAAGGAAGGGCTGTGTCTCCGAAGAGGAAGGAAGGAACTGGGGCAGATGACAAGTCCTGATATCCTCTACCCACACCCCTCAGCCCCACCTCACGAAAGAGGAACTGGGGGCTTGGTCAGTGGAGCTGCTGGTTCACAGCCTAGAGCTCCTATGAGAGCTCGTGGCTCTCATGGCTTGCCAGGGTTGTAATCCCAGGTCTTCCTTTTTACAGGCTGAGGTCCCTTTGATTACATCATGTTCAAGTTGAGGACAGTTAAAATCAGTAGAGGGTAGAGCTGGTCAGAAAATTTTCTTTTCAACCATTGTCCCCAGACATAGCCCTTCTCTGTAATCTTGGTCTGTACCCAAACCTACAGCTCCACACCCTATGTATTCTGCCCTCCTATATGCCAACAAACATTCCTGGGAGGATTGGTATTTGGACAAATCAGGTTTGGAGACCTCATTGGAGCTCTGCATTGCTCAGCTGAGTAAATGAGGGTATCAGCCCACGTCTCTGAACCTCACTTCCCCATCTCCTGTGTGCAAGTACCAAAACAGAGGCATGTCAACCACAGCCCCTGAAACTCTGACAGCTAGCATGTGTCCAGTACACAGAAGATATCACTTCACATCAACCCCTGCTTCACCATGAATTTTCTCACCATCCAAACCCATCTGTCCCAGTCCTGGAGACTCACCAAGGCAAAGCAGGGGCAGGAATTCTCTGAGCTTAGTGTCCCTTCCACTCAGACCAAGATCCCATCTTCAGTTTTACAGTTCAAAGGAAGAAGAGGAATTGGGCCATTGCAGGTCTTTCCTGCCGACTTCGTCTCCAGGTTGTGTGGATAGAGGTTTTACCCTGACACTTTTGTTCTCCACTGCCTATTGTACAATTTCCTTCTCACAACCAAGGCAGGAAACCATCAATGACATCTCCCTCAGAAACAGTGTGTGTGGCTCCAGCACCACCCACCCTGAGATCTGTCCTATCTCATCTGAAGTCCTGACCAAGACATTTTCTTTAAAAAAAAATAATAATTGTTTGGGGAAAAGTTTTAGAGTTGCAAAAAAGTAGTACAGAGTTCTCACATACCCATCAAGCAGCTTTCCCATTAGTAATAGAACAACAGTACATTATGAAAACCAGAAAGTTGGCATGGGCACAATAAGATAGCCGGGCAAGCACATGGTAACATCTAAAATGTGGGAGTCTCTGGTAATGCTGGGCACCCACTGCTCCTGAGAGCAGGGGGTTCAACAAGAAAACAGAAATGGATGTTTGTCTTTGAGTCTGAACAACTTGTCTTTTAGTAAATCTTGACAAATGGGTCACAACATATCAGATTTTTGCTGTGCTTTCTTTTACAGAAGAGAAAGTAATCAAGGGAAACTGGAAAGCTTCGATTCAATTTTCTTCCCAAATGGGAAGAGTATAATCCCATTTTCCATGAACAAAGGAGGAAATACTGATGAATTAAAGGAGCAAATTCTTCTCTAGAAGTACAACACTCATCCTTCCTTCCCAGCTACTCATTGCTTCCCAAGTCTGTTAAGAACTCTTGTTGATTATTGATTGCCTCATGTAACTGAAAACACTAGGGTTGTGTTCAAGTATGAGTAGATCCAAATGCTCAAATAATGGTACTGGGAATCTGTCTTTCTCCATGTCTAGGTGCCACTTTCCACTGTGTAGACTTCACTCTCAGGTTGGTTCTCTTCATGTGCTGGGAAGCTATGCACCAGCATCTCTAGGCAGAAATAGTGCACTGGCACTAACACTTGCAACACTTGCAACAAAACTCATAAGGCAGACTCAACATTGCTTGATTGGTTTACATGTCCATTCCTAAATTGATCGATGTAGCCAAGGTGATGGATTGCACTAATTGGTCTTTCTGGGACATATGAGCACACCTGCAGCTAGAAAGCTGGATCAGTCTCATTTAACCACAAAGAGTAAGTGACAGGTGGCCAATGTCCCAGTGAAGATAGTCATACCAGGACATACTGGATATGAATAGTTGGACATGCAATAAGTCAATACTGTCCACTCTGTGCCTTCATCTGCCCATTTCAGGCTATGCCCAGGCAAGATTTTGTCTCCTTCCAAGAACTAATCTATGATTCTTCTCTCCCTTAACCATGAGTCTTTAACCATGAGATTGCTGAAAGCATGTGCAGTTGCCATAATATTATTATAACTATACATCAGTTTTCTAGAATTATTAGGTCCCCCGCCTGGAGGCATGAGAGGTGGGAGGAAACATGGTTGTCTGCTGATACACAATGTTACAAGGGTTGAAAAATCCTATACTACATTGCAAAGCAGATGTCAGCACTTCAGATACACAATACCCTAGCAGAGGTAACACACAGTTGAGCAAGAAACAAAAAGCAGATTTTCATACATTCTCTGAGAGGGCAAAATAGATCAAGTCCCTCAGGTTGGATTGAAATTATTGGAGGGATTAAGACTGGAAGGGAAGACAGAGTAAGCAGAGAAAAGCCCCAATCCTGGGCCACTACAACTCTGGGTCACTACATGTCTATTAAAGACACCTTGTTTGAATCTCTTAAAGCTCATCGCCTTCTGATTCAACCTCAACCTTGTCCTGCAATTATTTTTTAAGTACAATTTTTCAGAAGTTAACATTCCAACACAACACCAGTGGAAAGTGAGTCCTGATTTTTGTTAAGATTTGAAATCACCAAAGTTCAACCCTAACTAGTAATGGGAATGTATGTCTGAATGCACAAATGCACACATGCTCTCCACATCTCCCAGATCCACTTATTTCTGGTCCAGGTCTTTCTGCATTCAGATGAGGTGACTTGGCTCTGGTTCACATGTCCTTCATCTTCCCCCTGAGAACAATGTGCCAGCTCTCACATGTCCTCGTGGAAATGGAAGATGCACAGGGGCTAAATCAAAATATGCTGTGCCCCTGAAGACCTGGGCTGCAGTTAAAATATTGCCACTTGCACCTTATCCTGTTGACCAAAGCAAATAACACAGCTGAATCCATAGTTGAGGGGCTATTAATGCGAACTATTGCACTATGACTTCTTGGCCAGTTATTCATATACATCCTATGTACAAAATATGCTCATTCCCATCCCAGGACCTGTTCCCCCAAATTTCCATCCAATAATGGTGTCAGGTTTTAAATCCAGCACCTAGTGATCATTATCAAGTCTATAGGTGGCTCCTTTGGATCCAGGACTCATGAACTAAAAATGCAAATTAGCTGACCCATACATCTGCCATATGATGACAAAACAGAAGTGGGATATAACCACAATAGTCACTGGTTTGCAGCAGTTTCAAAATCACTTTGGGAAAATGCCACCAGATGCCACAATTCTGGGGATGGAAATGTTGCTTCATGAAGTGTCAGTCCTGTTCTCTGTTAGGAGCTTCTCAGCCCACTGTCCTGTGAGGTCTTGGTTCCTCCCTCTGAGATGTCTTTGTTTTATCAACCTTCCTGTCCACTTCTGAAGAGGACCTTGGAGAATATGACCCTCTTGATGGATGGCCCAGTTTCTCAGCTTGCTTTCTGCACATAGGAAGTTGAGCCTCCATGTCTTTGTATAATTTCTCTAAGGTTATGCTGGCAGCAATTTTGCCAGCGTAGCTCTCAAAACCGTTGTCGCTTTCGGGGCACCTGGGTGGCTCAGTTGGTTAAGCCTCGGACTCTTGATTTTGGCTCAGGTCATGATCTCAGGGTTTCTGGAGCAGAATTCAGTGATCACTTACATACAACACCTACTGCTAATCACATCAAGTGCCCTCCTCAATCCCCATCCCGCCCATCCCCCACCACTTCCCTCCATCAACCCTCCGTTTGTTCTCTAATTAGAGGGTATTATGCTAAGCAAAATAAGTCAATCAGAGAAAGACAAGTATCATATGATTCACTGATATGAGGAATTTGAGAAACAAGACAGAGGAAGGGAGGGGAAAATGAAACAAGACGAAACCAGAAAGGGAGACAAACCATAAGAGACTCTTAATCTCAGGAAACAAACTGAGGGTTGCTGGAGTGGAGGGGGGTGGGAGGGATGGGGTGGCTGGGTGATGGACACTGGGGAGGGTATGTGCTATGGTGAGCACTGTGAATTGTGCAAGACTGATGAATCACAGACCTGTACCCCTGAAACAAATAGTATATTATATGTTAATTAAAAAATAAAAAAAGACTCTTATGATTTCCTTCCCTCTCTCCTTTTTTCTTTCCCCCCTTCCCGTATGTTCATCTTTTTATTTGTTAAATTCCACATATGAGGGAGATCATATGGTATTTGCCTTTCTCTGAATAACTTATTTCATTTAGCGCTCTAGCTCCATCCATTGCAAATGGCAAGATTTCATTCTTTTTGATGGCTGAGTAATATTCCATTGTATATATATACACCACATCTTTTCGATGGACATTTGGGCTCTCTCCATAGTTTGGCTACTGGGGACATTGCTGCTATTAACATCTGGGTGCATGTACCCCTTCAAGTCTGTAGTTTTGTATCCTGTGGAGAAATACCTAGTAGTGCAATTGTTGGATCATAGGGTAGTTCTATTTTTAACTTTTTTTATTTTAGATTTTATTTATTTATTTGAGAGAGAGAGCTTGAGTGGGGGAAGGGCAAAAGGGAGAGGGAGAAGCAGACTCTCTGCTGAGCAGGGAGCCCGACATGGGGCTCAATCCCAGGACCCTGAGATCACGACCTGAGCCGAAGGCAGTTAATCAACTGAGCCACTCAGGTGTCGCTATTTTTTTTTAAAAGATTTTATTTATTTATTTGACAGAGAGCGAGCGAGAGCAGGAACACAAGCACGGGGAGTGGGAGAGGGAGAAGCAGGCTTCCTGCCTAGCAGGGAGCCCGATGTGGGGCTCGATCCCAGGACCCTGGGATCATGACCTGAGCTGAAGGCAGACGCTTAACGACTGAGCCACCCAGGTGCCCCAGGTGCCGCTATTTTTAACTTTTTGTGGAACCTCCAAACTGTTTTTCAGAGTGGCTACACCAGTTTGTATTCCCACTAACACTGTAAGAGTGTTCCCCTTTCCCTACATTTTTGCCAACACCTGTTGTTTCTTGTGTTGTTAATTTTAGCCATTCTGACAGGTGTGAGGTGGTATATTAATCCGGTTTTGATTTGTATTTCCCTGATGATGAATGATGTTGAACATCTTTTCATGTGTCTGTTGGCCATCTGTATGTCTTCTTTGGGAAAATGTCTGTTCATGCCTTCTGCCCATTTCTTAATTGGATTATTTGTTTTTTGGGTGTTGAGTTTGGTAAGTTCTTTATAGATTTTGTTTTTTTAAAGATTTTATTTCTTTATTTGTCAGAGAGTGAGCACAAGCAGGGGTAGCAGCAGGCAGAGGGAGAGGCAGGCGCCCCACTGAGCAAGGACCCCGTCGCAGGACTTGATCCCAGAACTCTGGGATCATGACCTGAGCTGAAGGCAGACACTTACTAACAGAGCTACACAGGCGTTCCAGTTCTTTAGAGATTCTGGATACTAACCCTTTATCAGATATGTCATTTGCAAATATCTTCTCCCATTCTGTAGGCTGCGTTTTAGTTTTGTTGCTTACTTCCTTCACTGTGCAGAAGCTTTTTATCCTGATGAAGTTCCAATAGTTCAGTTTTGCTTTTGTTTCCCTTGCCTCTGGTGACATGTTTAATAAGAAATTGCTGTGACTAAGGTCAAAGAGGTTGCTGCCTGTGTTCTCCTCTAGGATTTTGATAGTTTCCTGTCTTACATTCAGGTCTTTCATCCATTTTTGTGTCTATTTTTGTGTGTGGTGTAAGGAAATGGTCCAGT